CCCCACCGAGCCCTGTCCCCAGAGTCATGGGGAATTGTAGGGTTTTTAATGTTTGCAGAGGCACCACCTTTTGTGACCATGTGGCTTCTTGTTCACGATCTTCTCTTTGGCCTCTACTCCTGTCTCCATTCTTGGCAACTTCAACATCCTTGGGGATGATCCTCCCAGCGTGTGGCCCCTCTGCTCCTTGACCGCTCACCTCTCAGACCTCTTCCCCCACCTCACCATTCACTCCCACGCTCACCCCTCATCACTGATCACCAGTAACTGCACGCATCCTCTGGCTTCCCTTCTGACCCCCAGTCCCCCCACCGCAGCCCCTCCCGGCCCCGCTGGCTCCCAATCCTGAAGCACTCCCAGAACGGCAGACTTACAGGTTCAATTGCTCCCTCATTTCTCCTTCGAGGCTTAGCGCTCATCTGAAACTTAGTGTGTCCAGAACAGAATTCTTGATCTCTCCGCAAAGTTGCTTCTCTCTGTCTCTCGCAGCTCAGTAAATGGCATAACCATTCACCGTGTTGCTCAAGCCATAAATCTAGAAGACACCCTTGATTTCTGTCTTCCTCTCACCTGTGTCCACCCCACAAGCAGATTCCATCCGTTCAGCCCCTAAAACATCTCTCAGATCCGTCCACTCCTCTCCATTTCCTCTGTCACTCTTCCCATCCAAGCCATCACCACCAGTAATCTCCAAAATACTCCCATACATCTCCTAAAAACTCCCCTCCTCTGCCCGGCAACCAGGGTGACCTTCTTAAAACACAGATCAGATCACGGTACCACTGCCCCAATTTCCCACCACACTCCTCTCTGACACTCAGGCCTTCCTCTTCCTGGAAACAAACAAAGCTCACCCCCACCTAAGGCCTCTGTGCCCCCTGTTCCCTCCACCTGGCTTTGTCTCCCCCTTGTTTCTGCATGGCTGAGTCTGGCTTGTCATCCAGGGCCCAGCTACACAAAGAGGCTTCTTTCTCCTGGACCACCCAGGCTTCTCTTGGCTTATCCTGTTTATTTATTGTCTATCTTATCCCACAAGAAAAGCAAGTCAGATGTCCAGGCATTTTCAGAACATTTGGGGGATTAGCTCTTAGAGTTCTGTATTCATTCCCGTGTGGGCTGGATAAATCTGTTCGTGGCAGGGACCTCCATCTGACTTTTGTCTGGTCCCCATAGACTTCTTCCAGATGAGCACAAAGGGTGTGTGCCATAAGAGCTCAGAATATTCATTTAGAAGCCTTCACTGAAAAATATGAAATATACAGTGAATAATACTGCTGTCCTTTAACTGCCCCAAGATCCTGTCCCCCTCAATAGGTGTCTGTGCTCCCTTTCCCTCGGCCCCAGTAGTTTACTTTTGAGAAACAGCCCATGGTTAGACATGTAGAGTCCTCCCCACAGCCTTGTGGAGATGATACAGTCAAATTGCAGGTGGCTGACGGGCACAGACCCCGCACTCTTTGGGCAGCTCCCTTGCTCCAGTTTCCTGAGCAGAGCAGGTGGCCAGGGCCAGGGGCAGACATGGAAACACCAAAGAAAGAGGCAGCAATCTGGTGGAGAACTGCCCCAGGCCCCCCGTGAGAGCTCAGAATTCAAGCTTCACCCAGAAAGGGCCTATTTAACCTTGCACACTCAGGGGCTGAAACGGTGTTGACGTTTTACAGCTCAGTTTGGTTCAAGGCTTACCCTGACCTGGGCCCACTCACCTCTTCACCCTCAGTTGTCTCCCCGCCGGGTGCCCTCGGCGACCTGACTGCAAGCCCTCAGCCGGCCTCTTGCCCTTACCTCGGGGACCTTGCACATGCTGCTCCATACCCCCTACCGTTACCAGGAAAGTCTTGCTTCTCCTCCAGCTCTCCGTTTAGACATTTACCTTAATTAACTTTTAAATAATGTCCAGTCAACAAGTATTTATTGGGTGCCTACTGTTTAGTGCGTTGCCGGGAGCTTTTCTGAGTTTGAGGGAAACAGGAGTAAACAGAACAGACAGAATCCCACCTTCATAAGCGTACATTGTAGTGGAGGATGAACAAATAAACATGATGTATGTGGCAAAAGGATTATAAAGAATAGAGCAGCAGAGGAGAGCAGAAAAGTTGAGGTGCTGTTTTGCTTGGGGTAAACTGGTGAGGAGGTGATATTTGAACTGCACCCTGATTGACATTAGGGCATAAAGCAGGCAGATGTCTGGAGAGTATTCAGGCAGAGAGGTGATGAGCACAGAGGGTCTGGGCTGGGGCTTGGTGTACAGGGAGCAGCAGGGAGGCCGGTGTGGCTGGAGCGTAGAAAGGCAGGCGGACAGGGCCACCGTGGGTCACCTCGAGGACTCTGGGTTTATTCTGACTGTAATGGAAACCACTGGAGGCTTGAGAGGCAGGCAGGACATAGCCTGGTTCACCTCCTCTAGGAAGCCCCCCTGGCTCCTGCCATGGGGTCAGTGGCCTTCCTGGGTGCCCACAGAGCACCCTCTTACCCCTCAAATCTCACTTCTCAGTAAAGTGTTCCTACGTCTGCTCCCCACCTGTGTGCCTTCAAGAGCAAGGGCCGTGTCTCACTCACCATCCCCCCCCACCCAGTGCCTTGCAGTAAGTGTGTATCAGAAGAACAAACAGATGACTCTCACCCCCCCAACATCCTGAGGTCCTGCCAGAGCACAGTGATGGTTTCCAGGCAGCGTTAGGACGCATGCGTGCAACCCCAGGCAGGTACCGTATAACGGGCATCAGCCTTTCTGTTTTAAAGCAGATCGACCCATCTGAGCAAAAGACTCTGGCCAATCTGCCGTGGATTGTGGAGCCGGGACAAGAAACCAAGAGGGGAATAAATACCAAGTATGAGACCACGATTTTCTGATACTCACCGTCCTCCCGTCCTCGCGGTGCCTTGCACGCCGAGCAGTCCCGGAGCAGGCTTTCCACCCAGCGCAGGAGGAAGACTGCTGTTTGTGTGGCCTTGTCACGGGCGAAAGGCCACTGGCCATTCCTGGGGACGTTCTTTCTGCACCAGTGACAGAAAGTGCAAGCAAGACTTTCCAGTCGTAACCTCTGAGAGAAATGAGTTGAGATTTGTGGCTCACTCTCCCGACTCCCCTCCCTGCTACCACCCAAGGTATTTCTAGTGACTTTGCCCCAACACTTGCTTTGCTGTACTTGGGGATAATACCTTAAGAAAAAAAATACAGGGGATCTCTAATACTGCCTAGAAGTATAAAAATCTTGGGTTTATTTTTATTTTTCTCTGTCAGCAGTTTTCAAGGTAGAATGAGAACAGAACTACCCCCAGAAAGCATCTGTAAAATCATTATCTCACTGAGTATCGTTTCATGCAAAAGGACAAAAAGTACCCCTGATTGCCAGGAAATCCTATTTCCCAATTTCTATATTTGTGGATTTTATATGTAATCAACTATGTCAGATAAAGAAAACCTTTACATCTATGGCTTGATTCAAAAACTTAATGATTTAAAACAGAGGAATTTATTATGCACAGAAAAATGTGTCTTGTATTAAATATTTTTATTAAAAGAATGTTTCACTAACACATTGATAAGAAAACTAGGTTAGTTGTGAGGGATGTTTTGCTTTCATTTCAAATAACTAAATTTCTACTGCTACTACCAAGAGGACTGGCTTGGGCGTTGCAAAGTACTACACCAGAGACGCTCACTAGAGCAGGAGATTTGGGCAAGCAGGCTGGCGTCTTACCAAAAGTGCTGACACAGCCATAATTAATAAGCCTGCAAAGATTTTTTTTTTTTTTAAACTTCACAGTTTTAAAAAACATCATGTTAAACAAAAAATCTAGGGCTCCTGCTGTCAAGATTTCTGTCATGGAAACCTTGTTTGTTTGTTTGAGAAAGGTGTTAATAAAATTCTATTGCAAAAAAAAAAAATCTTTTTTTCTAGAAAAACACAAATACAAAAAAAAATAGAGATTCCAAAGTAATAAAACTCTTTTCTTGAAACAAAATAAATAAATGTTTGCTTACTCTTTGATTAAATAAAATTTACTTACATTTCATTAAGGTATTTTAATTTTTTAATGTCTCTGTGGAGTATTTGTATGATACCATAATGTATATTTATGTAGAATCAAATTATATAAACAGTACCAATATCATTATAGAAAAAATAACATTTTAATGTATATTGTTCTAACCAATCATATTGTGAATCATTTTGGAGTTCATTATAATAAGCGATATTGATAAATTGTGGGATTGTCTTAATTTTTTTAAATTAACCAGTATTATTTTAAACCTGAGATTATCAGTTACATTCATCAGTTGGTGAGTTTTAAAGAAAGACAACTAAATTTTATTTCAAACTGACAAATGTATATGGTTTTAGTTCAGTGTTGGAGAATTTTAATACAATATTAAATTACTTGAACTGAACAGTTCCTTCTATATATTTTGCCTATTCACTGTTGATATGTATGTAGTAAATTGAGAGTAAAATAACCCTAAAATATGGTACCAAAAAGAAACTGTATAGGAGCAAAGTAAATAGTAGCTTTGCTGAAAAGGAAACATGTAAATATGCTTGGGCTTCCAGTTATAAATTTTGTAATTTTTGTCATTATTTATATCCTATAAAAAAAACACACAAAATAAAATGGAAACTGTACAGCTGCTGGTGCTTGGCATCATTCTGTGAGCACCTTCCCACTTCCATTTAGGATAGAACCAAAGGCCCGGCCTTCTCAGCATCCTATAGCTAAAGGGATTTTTTTCATTTGGCAAAATTGAGAAAATTTGCTCATTTCCAAGTTCAGCCAGGCCTTTAAAGCTTGAATTTCAGCCATAAAGCCCCCACTGTCTTTAAAGTGGGCTGTAAGGAAGAATTACCAAAACAGAAATTGGTAAAAGAGGAAGGGCCACCAAACTAGATTACTTTTATAGGACAACATCTACATGTTTGTCTTAGGCTGCCATAACAAAATACTGGGTGGCTTAAACAAATTTATTTCTCACAGTTCTGGAGGTCCTGGGAAGTCCAAGATCAAGGTGCCAGCAAGGTAGGTTGCATTCTAAGGCCCTTTTCTCCTGGCTTGGCTTGTTGGTGGCTGCTGTCTTGCTGTGTGCTCACATGACCTCTCTGTGGTGTGTGTCTGCAGAGGGTGGGGGAGCATCAAGCTCTCTGGCTTCTCTTCTTATAAAGGCACTAATCCCATCATGAGGGCCTCCACCCCCATGACCCCATCTTACCCTAATTATCTCCCAAAGGCCTATCTCCAAATACTCACCATGGAGCATTAGGACATCAACATATGGATTTTGAGGGGACACAGATTTTCCATAACAACACTCATTTTTCCTAAAACACATGTACAAGCTATGAGTCGAGTAATAAAAGGGTCATGTTAGAGACACACTGGAAAAATCAGTGATTCACAGTCCGTATCCTGTGACTTTCAGCAAAAGATCTCCACACTGCTGGATCCAAGTTACTCTCCAAAACACATGCCAAACCAATCTCGGGGTGCTCCCAGCCTGACACGCAGAGGCCTAGGGCTTTGAACCTGAAAGGGCTAAAACCATCCGGAGATGGGGCAACATTCACAGAGGCAGAGGGCACGTTTCCTGAAGGAAGGTTTGGGCTGGGATTTTAGACAGTAATGCTTTGCCTGGGCTAATTCAGCCCCTTTTTAATCTTTGCTAGCCACCAAGAGGTTAGCAATCCTCTTATTTATTATCTCTGTGGATCAACGCTTATTTGTATCAGTTATGATCCCAGCATGAAGTAGATGGCACACTCCAATTGGGAGAATTTAAGAGTTTAATAAGTAGAATACTTACAA